AAACTAACCCTCGGAGGTTGATTTTCCATTTCTGAATGATTGTGAGGGATTTTTGACTGTGAATGGTTGTGAGGGATTTCGCCGGCGATGGGGACGGAAATCTTCGGAGATGGGTACGGATTTCGCCGTAGAGAGTGAGAGATGGAGATGGGACTGAGTGTTGTGTTTTTGGGTTTGAGGTTATGAGTTGCGATTACTGTGGACGGTTCATTTTCCGATTTATTAAGAAAAAATACGTGTTTGGAATTTGAAAAAAAAAAATACGCGTTAATACGAATGGTGCTATGTAAATCGCGTTGCGAAAGTCAGTATCGCGTTGCGAAAGTAAGTATCTCGTTGCGATTTTTTATTATCGCATTGCGATAGTAAGTATCGCATTGCGATTTTCCCAATTTGCGTTGCGATTTACTTATTCGCAACGATATTGTAGACCATCGCAATGCGATTTTCAACTATCGCATTGCGAAAATGCAACGCGAATTTGCGATAATGGAGATCGCGTTGCGAATTAGCGATCGCATTGCGATTTTGTTGGTCATTTTGGCAAATCCGGAAAAAGTTGGTTAAAATCGTATATTATATGGGATTTTTGGTCACTGAGGTTATTTTCTCTTTTCAAAATGTCAGTTTCGGTTGTATAGGTATATAATATATATGGAGTTTTTACGAAAATATCACTAGTACACCTAATAATTATCTGTTAGATACTTGTGTGTAAAATTATCCGACCCGGTTGACCCGATCCATCGACCCGGATCTAAAATAATTGGGTAATTCTCTAAAAAAAATTATCCGGCCGGGTCGGGTACTCGGCCCGAAATTTCCCGGGTCGGGCCCGGGTCACAAAATCTAATTTTTCCGGGTACCCGGTTACTCGAGTACTCGGTTAATTTTTATTTTTTTTATTTTTTATATATAATTATATAAAATATAATGAATTATTTATATTATGGATTATTATATTTTGTATTTTGAACTTTTAAATTTTATGTTCGAATATTAGAGTATGTAATTCGAAGTTTCGAACATTTAAATTTGTGTATATATTTTTTTTAAATTAATAATTTGAAAATAAAAAAATTAAAAACCGGGTATCGGGTACCCGATTACCGGGTATCGGGTACCCGATTACCGGGTACCCGTAACATCCGGGTCGGGACACGGGCCGAGAAATCGTCGACCCGAAAATTCCGGGTACCCGGATTTGCACACCCCTACCTGTCATCCGGCCCTTTGCGGGGTTCTATCAGAGTTGACGTCACGTTAAGAAAAGCGCGGATGACCATTCGTGCCTTCGCGAAATTTCTGACACGTACGTAAGGCGTGGATCATTATCATCGCCTTTCCTTTAATACCCCAACCGTCAACCTCCCACATTTATGGGAACACGTCTATCCCCTCCCCCTCTTCCCATAAATATAATACCTAAGCACAATCTCCATACCACACTTAAATCTCAAATCTCAAATCTCAAGTCCTCTCATTCTTCCAAGTATCAATCTTTCTATTAAGAAGGTAAAATATTTTATTGTATTATAATAAATCAATAATTTATTATTTTATTAAATTTTATTATACTAATTTTTTTAATTAATTTTTGCAGTTATAAAATGAAAGACGATTTGCTACGTTTAGATGAAAATCATATCTCAAGGCATTTTGTCGATACAGTAACAATTTTAAATTTTGTTGTAATTTTAATTATTGTTAATGTTTTATTTATTTATTTTTTTAGTATTAGTTTATATTTTAATTTTTATAATATTTACTAAATTAAGAGAGAGATCGTATATTAGATCCATTTATTTGTAACCTTAAGTTAGATATACCTACTCGTGTATGGCAGTATTTAGTCGATGTTGGATTCAGTTACGTAGCAAAATATGAAGGGCATTATAACTTTGAATCCAACCTTATTTCTACATTGGTTGAGAGGTAGAGACCAGAGACACACATTCCATCTTCCGTGTAAAGAGTGCACAATTACACTGGAGGATGTTTTTATGCATTTGAGGCTACCGGTAGATAGGGATGTGCTTTTTGTGGTTGCGGACGGTGACTGGTATTCCTTATGCGAGGTGTATCTTGGAGGTGTCCCGCCTAATTTCAACGGTGGTTGAATACCGTTAAATTGGTTAGATACAACTTTCCAACATTTGAGTCACGACGCCTCCGAGGAGCAGGTTAAAATGTATACACGTGCTTGCATATTACAACTCATAAGAGGATCCTGATCCCCGAAAAATCACGCAACCAAGTTTATTGTATGTGGTTGCGTCACCTCACAGATTTTCATCAGGCTAGCACACTGAGTTGGGCTCCGTAATTTTGGCATTTATATATAGGGAAATGTGTCGAGCTACTAACTATTGAAAAAAATGCTATCGGTGGATGTCTCATTCTTCTCTAGTCTTGGGCATGGTATCACATGTCATTTTTTATGTCTGTCGGTGAAAAACTCGTTGCTCTTCCCGCTATTATTGAAGTAATTTCAATATTGATTTCATATATAAATAATTTTATTGAGTATATAAAGAAAATTATTTCATTGAATAGGTGGTCAAATGCAAGAAAAGATCATCGAGATTAACTCTGAACAAGTTAGCTTGAATCCCTTGAAGAGATCGCGAAATCTATGTGACACGAAATAATTCATTGGTTCTAGAGAAGATTGTTACAGACATTCCATTTGATGCAACAATTCTTTTTTGTAGATCTGTAACTAATCTTGGGTGATAGACATGATCGTTTTGTATCCAAGTTTGAACTTGTCTCCTTAGCTTGGCAAAAAGTGATTCCAAACAAAAATGTCGTTTTAACCAAAGCCGTTACTGGTAAATGGCGTGCCCCCTTTAAGGTCAAATTGATAGCCTCAACCAAGTTGGTCGTCATGTGTTTATATCGATATCCACAATCATATGCATTTGTCAACATTTCTTTGTTGATGTGGTTGATGCAATTGTATCCTTCCTCGTTCTTTCCTCGTAAATCTTGAAGCATGGACTCAAATGTTTCAGGTAATAATTCTTTAACCTGAGCATCAAATGTAGAGCTTATGGTTAAATTTCCATAAAAAAATAAAAAATGATTGAGAAATAAAAAAAGCAACATTTTTACATACCCATGCGTATAAGTAATTTCGTTCATCATTCTTCTAAAACTTTCCATGATAGTTAGGATCAATGTGTCGGGTACAGTACTGATGTTGGACATAGGGTAGTTGCCACATTGGACCCAAAGAATCCATTGCTGCTTTGATCCCAGCTTCGCGATCTGAAATGACACATATTTTTTCCTTGTGACAACATGTAAGCGTAAGTTTTTTTAGGAAAAAAGCCCAAGAATCTATATATTTTCCTTCAACAATGGCAAAAGCAATTGGAAGAATGTTGCGATTACTATCTTGGACAACTGCCAATAGTAAAACTTGCAGTATTTCACAATATTAATGAACTATGATTAAGTCTAAAGAAGCCGGTATAATTGGCATCGATCGCGAAACACTTGATCATTGTGGTATGTATAACAAGTTTTAAACTCGACAATTGTCTCATGATTCAATCTGCGCACTGCCTAAACCAACTTGGTAGTTCATTTTAAGATGCATCACATTCACCGTAAATTATTTTAATAGCATTCTGCTTTGCCTTCTATGCTTTCCTGTATGAGACGATATACACATACTGCGAATGTATAGCTGAAATCAACAAATAATTTTGATGTTGTGATGTTTGAATTCAAAAGGGAATGTTATTTATAGGGGAGGGTTTAAAAGTCGAGATGCTCGGGTACCAATAATGGAAGGTGCGGATAATGATCAGCGCCTTACGTATGTGTCAGAAACCATCCGCGCCTTTCTTGACGTGGCACCAGCTCGGACGAAACCCTGCGAAGACGCGGTCGCGCCTTGTCAAAAAAGGTGCTAGATCGGTAATATTATGAGAAAGGGTGTCTGACAAGTAATTATTAGGTGTACGTGTGATATTTCAGTAAAAATGTCATAATATATTTGATTATCTTTTTAAAAAATTATAAAGATTTAGATTTTTTAAATAATTTAAAATTAAATTGAAATTTAAAGAGTAATTTTAGAGGTAAAGGGTGTGATGTTTTTTTTACATAATTTAGATTTGAATAGTATAATTTATAAGATGTGTGTGAATTTATTTAATTAAATTAAAATTACAATTAAAATTATTTATCTATTTACAAATCATGATAATAACATTATAAAAGAACACAGAACAAATACTAAATTTTCATTTTTCTCATCACTTTCCCCGTTTATTTCCTTTCAATCGCTCTCTTCCATTCCTCTAGTTATTATCCCATCTAAAACCCAAAATATTAAAGAAAAAATAGAAAAGAAATTAACTGAACTCTTAAATATTTTATCTAATTGAGTTTTATTATTAAAAAATAATTAAATTGATCCATTAATATTAATCATGTTGATCATTATTTTTAATTGACGTAACGGATAATTACTTTAAGTCTATAACAGTGACATGTGTCACCTATATGTAGTGTTTAATTGATTATTTTATTTGAGGTTAATAATATAATAATTTATTTTGTTTAATATTAAGGATTAACTGATTAAAAATTATAGAAATGTCGAAATTATCAATACATATATAATTTGAAAATATGATATTATAAAAATGATAAAAATAATTTTAAAAAAATATATAAGATCAAGCATTTACAAATATGTTCTTCATAGATAAATTTATGACTTGTGATCTTAGACAAGTTCTTCATGATCATGATATCTTTTTTGCTATCATATGAGGAGTCATATGTGTATAAATGATACTTCAACTGAGTACGGAGAAATTTATGATAATTTTTTATGTCAGAATGATCATTCAAAAATTTTGGTCTCTATTTAACCCCTAATCCTATGATAACCCCTAATCCTCTCACACAGAATAATGGAAATCTGCCGCCGCCTATCTTTGTGGCTCCGACATCCCCTCTGAAAGGTAGGAACTCTGATGGAAATTTCATTGGGCCTGAAGTCTTGGGCATCTCTACAGTTGGAAAGACCGGGTTCCCTCTTCCCGGATGAAGATCAACGTGAGACTAAGAAAGTTCGTAATAAGAAGAAAGTTGATCGTATGGAGGAAGATCGTGCGGTTATGGAGGCTCAGTCGAATACAAACACCATTGATACGGCTGCCGGTAAACAGGAAAAAAAATCCTATGCTAGCGTGGTAATGGGCAACTCGAAAATGACGGTAGATAAGGTTTCGCTCAAAGCTATGGACGAGGTGGAGGTCCTACATGGGAGTGTATTGTAGACAACGATGGTATGTATCTGGTGATTCAATTTGCAGACCAAGTTCACGATAGAATTGATTATAGCATGCGGCGTTCAGTGATAGTCTGGCTTCTCGGACGTGCCATTGGCTATAAAACCTTGTTGAATCGTATTGGAGTTCTATGGCAACTGCAAAGACAGTATCAATTTATTGATTTAGAGAATGACTATTTTCTAGTAGAGTTCGAGAGCGAACAAGATTATATTTATGTTTTGATGGAAGAGCCGTGGATAATATTCGGGAGCTATCTTACGGTTCAACCATGGAGTCGTACATTCTCCACAATGAAAGTCTGGGTGAGATTACCGAGTCTTCCCCATAGATATTATTCTAAAGCGATATTTCGCCGTATTGCTATGGTTATTGGTCAGGTTGTGAAAATTGACTATAGCACAAACTCGGGGGAGAGAGGTCGATTTACTCTCTTGGCAGTATTGATGAATTTAAATAAGCCATTAATCCCATGCCTTAAGATTGATGGCTTCTGGAAAAAAATAGAGTATGAAGGTTTGCAACAAATTTGCTTTCAATGTGGAGTGTATGGGCATTCGAAGGAAAATTGTGGTTCTGTTAAAGGGAATACAAGACAGGAAGGTTTAGTAAATGAGCATAGCGCGGTGCTAGACAAATCGTTAGGCAGCGAAGAAACTGGTTTTGGACCATAGATGATAGATAAGACACGAAAAAGAAGATCGAAGAAAATAGCTGACCAGAACCCTGAAGGAGATAGAGATAAAACTCGAGGATCTCGCTTTACTATGTTAAATAAGATAAATAATGGGCATGAAGAAAACACTGCAGGAATTTCGGAGATACCAGAGGAAGATAATAATATGAGAAATGGTGAGGTTTACGCTCCTCGGATGGAGTATCAGGCGAAAGGCAAAGATGTAATGGATAGTGTTCCAAAGGAGGCTGGTTCTAGAAGGCGGACAAATAAAAGCAGACAAGATGATGTTGGGGATAGTCGAGCTCTTAAACATATAAGTGTGATAGCAATTGAGGAAGGCGCAACCCCTCAATTCACGCAAAATCAACAAGTTATAGCTGGTGGGAGTCATTCAGCGATTACCATCTCAGATGATAGTAGGAATAATATCATTAAAAAGAGTAATTATAGTAAGGGTATTCAAAGAGATGTGGGGGACGATAACAAAGGACTCAAAGGGAAGAAGAACAAAGATTTTATCTTCTCCCCGACAGTGTTAACGGATTGGCTGAAGACTGCAAAGTACAATACAAAACATGACAAGGTTACGCTGCATAAAGAGGGCTCATCAATTCCACGTGGTAACGAAAAGGATGAAACATTCCCGCCTATAGTGGAGTCGGTGATTATAGTACCTGAAGAAGACATTCCTCTCGAAAGGGATAATGTTAACCCGAACCTTCCTTAGTAACGAGGCTTCCTCACTTATATATTTTAATGGTTAATTTTCTTTTTTGGAATTGTTAGGGCACTGGAAGCCCTGACTTTAGACGGTATTTACAGGAACATTATCAGTAGAGTCGACATGAACTGGTGGCATTGCTGGAAACTCGAATTAGTGGTGTTACTACTGATAAAGTCATCCGGACGTTGGGATTTCAGAATTTATTTAGAGTTGAAGCACATGGGTTTAGTGGTGGTATTTGGATTCTTTGGAAAGACGGGTTAAACGTGGAGATTTCAACAATCTCAAACTAGTTTATTCATGGTAGATGCTGGTCGTATAATAAAGATAGATGGATGTCTTTACTGTTATTTACGCTAGCCCTAAAGTGAAGAAGCGAAAATTTGTTTGAAAACACCTTATTAATCTTTTGCCAGGTGAGAATGAAGCGTGGATTATAGGGGTGATTTCAACTCCATCCTACGGCTAGATGATAGGGAAGGTGGTTTAAGCCATGGTTCAGGGGTAAGCCAATTATTCGCTGATTTTATCTTTGAGATGGGTTTATTTGAGGTTGATTTTCGAGGGTTAAATTTACGTGGAGAAGAGGTAATCTATGTAAATGTTTAGATCGTTCCCTGGTACGAAGGTGTTACATCTTGATAGAGTGGGTTCGGACCATTGCCCTCTTTTACTAAAACCTCATAGTAACATGAGCTTTCAGTAGACTCGGCCATTTCACTTTATTGTAGCATGGCATAGCCATCCTCAATTCAAGAGCTTTTTATCAGAAGTTTGGAGGAATGATTTGGATACACTAACCAACGTGAATTCCTTCCAAATTAAAGCTAGTGATTGGAATTTAAAGGTGTTTGGGCATATAGGGAGGAGAAAACACGAACTATTGGCACGATTACGGGGTATAGATAGAGCGTTTATTACTCGATATTCATAACGTTTGGTGGATTTGCAACACATGCTGAATTATGAACTTGAACAGGTTCTCCAACAAGAGGAAAGTTTGTGGTTATAAAAATCGAGAACTCAATGGGTTCTTCATGGTGACAAAAACACTAAATATTTCCACGCTTGTACGATGATGAGGCGCAGGCGTAATCATGTGAGGGCTCTTAAGGACTTGAATGGTAACTGGGTGTCTGATCAAGAAACTCTTTGCTCAATGGCAGTTAATTTCTACAATAAATTATTCACTAATAGTAATGAAGATGGTAATGGGTATCCGTTTCAGGGATGCTTTCATGTTCTCTCTAATTCTGAATTGAACATACGACCGCTATTTAACGAAGAAATCCGTGAAGTCTTATTTAGTATGAGTCCGTTAAAAGCTCCTAGAGTGGATGGACTACATGTTTTTTCTTTCAGCGGAATTAGAATACGGTGAGCTCCAGCGTATGCCAATTGATTCATCATATTTTTGCAGGAGGAGCTTTCGATAAAGAAATCAATCGAACAATCCTGATACTAATCCCCAAAGTTAAAGTACCAAAAATTTTCAGTCATTTTTGACCAATTAGTTTGAACTTTGTGTTATACAAACTTGTTACGAAGATAATTGTGAACCGGCTAAAATATTTGATGAAACACTGGATATCAGAAAATCAAACAAGCTTTGTTCCTGAATGGTCGATCATGGATAATATCATTGTAGCGCAAGAGATAATTCACTCCATGCTATTGAATAATGGGAAGTTCGGCTTTTTGGCAATAAAAATCAATCTTGAGAAAGCCTATGATCGTCTTAAGTGGTCATTTATTGACGACACGTTAAGAGAGTTGCATATTCCAGAGAAGCTTAGGAGACTTATAATGAGAAGTGTAACTTCAGTCTCGACGTAGGTACTTTGGAATGGTGCTATATTTGAATCCTTTAAGCCAAATAGGAGGTTGCTCCAGGGTGATCTTTTATCGCCTTATCTGTTCGTGATGTGCCTGAAGATGTTGGCCCATGCAATCTCTATAGTTGTAAAAAAATGGGTAGTGGAAACCGATCCGTCTGTGTTGTGGCCCTGATCTTTCTCATCTATTTTTTGCGGATGACTTGATACTTTTTACTAATGCGTCAATTGAGCAATGTTCTGTAATTCGGAGTACTTTAGATCTCTTGTGCAAGTTCTTGGGTCAGAAAATCAACATGCAAAAAACTACTATTTTTTATTCTAAGAATGTGGATTTGGGTTTGAAGAATTCAATTAGCTCTTTATTCAGATTCCAGTAAGTTCAAAACTTGGGGAAGTATCTCGGAGTACCTATTCTTCACTCTCGGATTATGAGAACTTCGTTTAGTTACATAGTTTCGAGAGTTCGAGATAAACTCAATGATGGAAGACTAAATCTTTATCTTTGGCTGGGAGGATTACATTGGCTAATGCAGTACTATCGACTATCACATTGGTCGGTTTTCAAGTCGACAAGAAAAGGTGGTCTTGGCATGAAGAAATTAGTCGATCAAAATGGTGTCTTTCTTATGAAAATATCATTTAAATTGGCAGTCAATTCCGATCAGTTGTGGATTAAAGTGTTGCGATCCAAGTATAAGTAGAGGAATGACTTACCCGAATCAATTGACATCAAGAGAAGTTCGCATGTTTGGAAATGAATCTCTCATGTGTGGAGTGAGGTGCGGCAGAGTTTGGTTTGGAACATTGGTAACGGGCGTAATGTGGACTTTTGGGGGATTCTTGACTTAGCGATGTGGGGCCTTTAAACACACTTGTAACTAATCAATTAGAGCGAGATACTTTACCAAGGAGGACAGTGAATTTTATGGTTGATACCAATGGACAATGGTGATGGGAGCTAATAATTAATTTAGCACCGAGTAGTATTAAACAGCGACTTGCAACAATAATGCCGCCATGATATGAATGATGCGCTGGGTTGGAAGTGGACCATTGATTGATGTTTTTCAGTTAAATCAGCGTACGACATGAGACATGTAACTCCGGATACTAATCCATATAAAGTTTGGGAAGTGACTTTGAAATATCGAGGGTTGCAACAGATTAAAATTTTCTTGTGGTTAGTAGCTAATGAGCGATTATTAACCAATTAGGAACGAGTCAGATGGCACTTAGCAGCAAGCAACTGTTGTGGAGTTTGCGGGCAGTCGGGGGAAACAATATATCATCTTTTTCGAACATGTCATGTGACCATGGTTGTTTGGACAACGTTAATTAAAACTGAAAAATAAGATGAGTTTTTGTCCAGGGACTGGTTGCATATTAATATCGGTAATTCGAGAGTATATGCACGGGATGAATGTGACTGGGACTTACTATTTGGTTCGATACTTTGGATGATTTGGAAGAATCACAATAGGAGAATGTTTTATCCGGATTACATTGAACAGGAGTCTGTATTAGTACAAGGTATGCGTCTTCGTTTCGAAGCTATTCGAGCAATCGAATTATCGTTGCAAGTGAATCCGTCTTCTCATCGAAGGATTAGTGTGTCTTTTCATTGGTCTCTGCCTCCTACTAATTGATGCAAGGTTAATACTGATGGATCCCGTAAAATAGGAAATGGTTTTGCTACATGTGGGGGCGTTATTTGATCTTCGAACGGTGGATGGATTCTTGGATTCTCTAAAGTACTAGGAATATGCTCTATCGTTAAAGCGGAGTTATGGGGAATACATGAAGGTCTCTCACATGTGTGGAATCTTGGTGAAAGAAAAATCATGGTTGAAGCGGATAGCTTGGAGGCCATTCGGATGTGCTTAAGGGAAACACTAATAGAAGATCGATTTTTACGCTGCTTGACCAGGTTAGTGAATTATTAAAGCAGGAATGGACGATTATTTTGAGGCAAATACACCGGGATGCGAATAAGGTGGCCGATAATTTAGCAAGGTTAGCTACAACAAAGAGGTGATGCTCATAGGATCTTCTACACTCCACCGCTGGAAGTGCTTAATTTGCTACAACAAGATTCACTTGCTTGTAATTTGACAGTAGAACATTAAGTGTTAGCTTATATCTTTATTTCATCAAAAAAATTTGGTCTCTATCTAAATTAAATGAAAAAAAATAAAATCAAACTTTCATTAAATAAACCAAACTTACTTGATTTATTTAATGACATGTTGAAAGTCACTCTCAACATATTTTCAATGATGTTAGAATGTCAAGACTAACGGTAAAAGTGATATCAATTGATTTGTTACGCATCAGTCAATGAGAAATCTTAAGTTTGATACATATAAGATTAAGACACTGACCAAAGAGTTATTGAAGAAAGATTATTTTTTATATTTTTTTAAAAATTATTTA